TTCCGGGCATGTCCCACCGGGAGGAGGCCCCGGGGAAGACCCAGGACACGCTGGAGGGACTATGTCTCTCGGCTGGCCTGGGAACGCCGCGGCATTCCCCCGGAGGAGCTGGAGGAAGTGTCTGGAGAGAGGGAAGTCTGGGCATCTTTGTTTAGACTGCTGCCCCCGTGACCCGGTCCCAGATAAGCGGAGGAAAATGGATGGATGGATGGAGCCCACTCAGATGTGTGCTCTTTCCTCTACCACTTGTTATTTCCTATGTAGTCATCCTGTTTGCTTTATCTGTGCAACCCATCCATCAGTCAGCTATCAATCCAGAGCCCTCTTCCCTTGAGACTTGCACTGGTGAGGACCAGACAAAATGTCCTCACTCCATTTCAAAAACATTTTTTGGTCCTCATTATGTAGCAAATAGAAGAACACACACACACACACACACACACACACACACACACACACACACCTATATACATGATGCTGTCCATCAGAGAATTATATATCTGTGTCTCCTATAGCAGAACCACATTAAGTGGTGAAGAGTTGTCCTGGAGGAGGGATGAGGTGCCCTCGTAATTAATCAGTGCTGGGATCTTCCCACCGACATCTGCCAACGGCTCTAATACCTAAAAGCACAGATAAAATGTTTGTTTGCTTGCTTATTTATTTATATGGGACAATGCACATTAAGCAAGACTGATAACATCATCTGATTAAGTGACTTTCAAAACCGAAGTTTCTCTAAGCTCAGAGACCTGTATATGAATGTAAAACATTCAATTAAAAGATGATTAATAATGTGTTAAAATGACACCTGAGTGGGATCAACATGTGAGAGCTGTCTTGATACAATTTCAGTTTTGTGATATGTAAAGAAGTGGCCCGACCTTTGTCTTGGACTAACAGAAGAGGATGAAATCCTAATAGCAACAAAAATATTGAGTTCTGGAGGTCCCCCTTGAGACCGCTCCTAAACTGTTACAAGGCTGCACTCTGGATAAAGAACTACATTACATAGTCCTAGATATCTAGCTACTTACAGTACTGACTGTCTGCCAATGTTGTGTAACCATATGGATGTCTCAGCATTGCTGGGAAAAGGCATTGCTTGTTCTGAATATAGTCTGGTCAGCCTGAAACATGAGGCTGTAAATGGAACTGACACTGCCGACATGTCAAATACATCTCTGTCACAAACTCTTCATGGTACATTATCAAGGTAGTTGCACACTTTTTAAAATCAAATGAGATTTTTAGGACCTAAAGAAAAGTCCATCTCCACAGAAGAACAAAGGCATATCATGTGTAACCATTTTTCATTCAAATAAAATGATAAAATATCAAACACAGACATGATTGTGTAGCCCATGTATGATTAATACATGGGATAATGTATTATGCTGTATGTGCTTTAAAGGAAAAGCTTATTTACATGACAATTACTGGTGTGACCATAAAATCTATAGGTGTGACAACATAATCATTTATAATAGAGAGAGAACAGCATGTGCAGCCCCAGGTTTTTAATGCAACAGTTCTACAGAACATTCTCCTTCATGACAGTTATAATGCTCAGTTTTTGTTGAAACTTCTCTAAAGAGATGTTAATTAATTTTTATCATCACTTTTTAGGCTGTGGTTTGTTTCTTGAAAACCCACTTTGACATAAATAGGGTGAAAAAGATTATAAAACCACTGGTAATAATGCAATTCAACACCAGCAAACCCCACAACCGCCGCCTTTAAAACTGTTGAGTTGCAACAAAAACTGGACACTATAACATCCATGACAATGGAATTACTGCAGGACTGGTACTGAGCTTATTTACTTTCATATTAGTGTGCCTGTAGTACATGTATAGTCTTTTATCCAGCAGGAGCTGATGATAGTGGCAACGAACATGTAAAACTCCACATACTTTTCTGAATAAAAAACAAAGCATCTGTGCTTTTCTAGTTTCATATGGGACTCAAATGTTTTAACTCCCATTGTCCCAAGTTTACAGCGCGGCAGTGCTCATGAACAGCATACATATAAGTCATGAATGCAAGACATAACACACAAATCCATAAAAATTTATCATTAGAAAATTACAATGCTAACAAGATACAGTAATATAGACAGAACCCTAACCCTTTGATAAAATATTCATATCTCAGTTAGTCTAAGCATCATCTCAAAATTTAAGACATCTCACGAGTAAAAGTAAGACTTTAAGACTTTTTGTGACTTCAGAATTTTTAAATAAAATGTAAGACTGTTTAAAGATCTGTGGGAACCCTGATTATATGCAGTGGTTGAAAAGAAAGATAAGCATGTGAACAAGTTGTTGTACAAACTAACAATTGACTCACACTAGCCCCATCAAAACAAGGAGGATGTGAGAAATACACCTGCAGTTAAAATCAAGATGTTGAGTGTTTTTTCCTTAGGCTTGTCCCTGACCTCAGTGCTGACCGAGTACAGTATGTGCATAACTGAACGACAAGCTAGATTGACAGAAAACATGCCTAAACATGAAAAACATTTTGCTCAATTCAAATCACAACTGAATGCAGTTATGTTAGCTAATTCATGGCACTCAATCTAACTACGCCATAATGATTAAAAAGCTTTTAATTAAATCAGTCATGAAAAACTGTGAAATCGACGATG